GTGCTGGAGTTCCGAATTGTTTTGTTGTATGGGTTTGTCAAGTTTTATTACAGCATCCGAGATAACTGCATCAGACATCAGTTGAACGGAATAAAATCTGAGGCACATAGTTGTCTCGGGAAGGGGGGGGGGGCTTAAAGTCACAAATCTTATTTGTGTACCACGATGACCTGAAACATGATTTTAAAGTGTTTTTCTTTCTCTTTCTCTCGGTGCTGCGACATCAGGATGGTATCTAAATATGCTTACTTAAGACAGGGAGCCTAATTTTGTAAACAATGAGCATACATAGAAACATGCTTATTCTCCTCTCTTTCAGGAACATTTTGGTACATCATTGCTACGTATAGGCATTTTTTTAAGAGGACCAAAACCACCTTCAAAACTTGCTCCAAAAAAACGGCAAAAGAATCTTGAGAAAGCTTGATAGGGATAAATGACCCCCAAAAAACCTTTGTTGGACTGCTTCTTGTACAGTACAAAGAATATTATTAAGTAATAACTAGCCGCCGTATCCGCTAATCTGTTAAAAGGGTCCATTTGAGTGATAGGAAGTCGCGCCTAAGTACTGGGAACCTATCCTGCTCTTATGTCAGCGCATCATAGGTATACGATATTCCGCAATCTCGGTAATTTTGCAACTGATTACTGATTACTGATTTTGACTGATTTTTTGATATTTTGACGATAAATTAACCTTTTGATAATCTCAAAAGCCAATTCGATCAGTGTTATAATGTACGATAACGTTTAAGGTGTACGTTTTGTGCATTGCATATTTTGCAAGTCCCGTTTCTTGAAAATTGTCTCCGACGTACTTATACCTAGAACTCTTCCATGAGCTCCATACAAATCAAAAATCGGTACGAGATTTGCGGGTTGAAAAAGAAGAAATGCAATAAATTTCTTCCTGAGGCCTGGTCCTTCTCAGAGGTTCTTTAAAGAATCAGAACCTGCATGATAAATAAATTTCCTCCTATTATAATATTTTTTTAATACAAATGTTACCAACTCCACTCTAAATTCCATACAACAAAATTTAAGATAATATACATGGATTTTTTTTACTGCTCATTCCATTTTCTATGTGTCGTGGTAAGTACCAATAATATCTTCAAGGATGACTCGATAGTATTCAGATATCTTCTTTTTTATCATTTATTTAATGTATTGTTCTATTTTTTTTTAAATATGCATATTTGTTGAATAACTGAAAAAATGGGGAGTTCATGAAAATGAAAACTTCTATTGACTGGCTGGAGGGAAAAAGAGGAGAAAAGAACATTGTCGGAATGTTCCGTATGAATCAGTACCTATGCAATTGCGAGGAACCAATGAACATGAAGGAAATCTGGTAACCTTGGTGGCGAAGGGAATGTGAAGCCCCCCTACCCTCCCTCCTCACTCCTCAATTAATGTCTCTACCAAGTTTTCCAAAATTCACGGTTATGTAAGCAGCTCATTGTCTCATTTGCCGAAAGTAACATGAAAAATAAGCTAAAAATAAGTTACGAAGGATTCGCCATTTCCAATAGTCATGAAAAGGTGGGTCAAAATCGTATTAAAACTTGTTATTTCGCTCTAATATCTTAAAAAAATGTAATCCTGTCTGTACAAAACTTACATGAGGTGAAGAAAGGGTAATTTACTCTGTAATAAGGTCGGAAAAGCTCTGCATTCAGAGAAAACAAGACGCGTGATGCGCGATGACCGATCCCTCCTATTGACTCGGCGCTCTCACGTTGGAGTATTTCGCTTTTGCTTGTTTTTATGTATTACTAATAAAAAGTAGAGCTTAAATTACTGAGGAAAAGTATTTAGGCAGTACGGTAAATTCATTATTATTTTTAAAACTGCGCATCGTTGAGATTAAACCAAGACAAGCAGCTGTTTCGTCGGTAACATCGTACTGTGCCGCCGCGCGCGTCCCGGGCAAACAGCGCAGCGCGCGGATCTGCCTCAGAACGGCCGGCTCCCCGTCCCCCGATGGTTTTTCCTGTTTCACGCCTTAAATATCGATCCCACAGAAAAATTCATAATAACCATTTTTGTTCCTGATAAAATTTCCTATCGTCCTGCTTAAAAAAAATTACGCTAACATTAGCCGTTCCGTAGTTATTCAAAATTCAAAATTTGGGGGCCCCCCTGCCCCCCCAGGGGGCTCAGATTTTTGGGGTCTATGTCTGAATCGAATGTCTATAGGGTAGAGATGAATCCCTGAAATTTTCATGCTTTCTTCCAGAAGTGCACGATTCTTATGATATTTTCCACTTATCGGCCCCACTATAAAGACCCTAGTGCTTTCCTAACACTGGAAAAAAAACACATTGGATCTAGAGTCCAGACTCTTGAAAACAATGACAAGATAAAGGACTCTTGATTCAATCATATTTAAGCGATTTTATTGACGGCGATTTATCGAAATATTATATCGAACGAAAAATTGTGATAAATTGAGATAAAAATGATTTTATCGAACGCGATTTCATAGAGATAAAATTGCGACAAGATTAACGCTAGGATGTTGATAGTCATAGCGATTTTATCGCCGACGAATCGTAAAAATGTCGCCACTCAATTTCAAAATATCGCGAGTTTTCCGTTGTAAAATGCTACTTGGGTATAGTACCATTAAGCAGATATGTATATGTCCAATTACTTCCTTTTTCCATCAAAACTAACAACCTTCACCAATATACTGGGAAAAAAAACCACATTGGATGTAGAGTCCAGACTCTTGAAAACATCGACAAGAAACAATACTCTTGATTCAATCAGATTTGCGTTTAAATCAAAAGGAAATCAGCTCAAATTAAGAGGCTTGGTTCTTTATTTAAGCAAAAATCCGATTGAATCAAGAGTATTTTTTCTTGTCGATGTTTTTAAGAGACTGGACTCTAGACCCAACGTGTTTTTTTTTTTCCAGTGAACGATTTGCGCGCGGATGCGTCAGACATGTTGGATACTGTGTAGCATCCTATTGCGCAAAGGTTGGATGGAACGACTTTTCCTACGAAATGACCACCTGTGCTGTAGTATTGTTTTTGAAGTAGGATGTTTAAAAAAACAGACACTCCTCACGCAGATTGTGAACTTAGAAGTGTATTTCAGACTTCCCAGCACTTACCGTGATTTTTAAACCATTTTCGACACGAAGTAACTTCTTATCTTGCTCTAGCAGAAGTTTCCAACACACCCATTCATTTTCTTCATAAGAATATGAATCCGAAATTTGTGTGCAAATTTTTGCGTGCAGTCAGAAGTGGAATTACTGAATTTTTCGTGAAAAAGTCCCCAACAGATTTCTGGTAAATCCACAAGTTGCGGTTGCGAGTCGAAATTTTGCGAGGTTGAAACGTAGCTCTTTTGTTTAGAGACCGACAGTCGGCAATCACACAACTCGGTTTGCGACGTCGCAGACTTCCTGTCATACTTTATTTTTTCAAAGGAAAACTACTCAACGGCAATTCTTCACAAAACTGCCGTGATTTTTCTTCTTCGCGCGAAGAAAATTCTGCAAAAACTTCAAGGAATGATGTCAATTTGTTCACTTTTAAAAAAAATAACATAGAGGCGGAGATTTTCAGACACCGCAAACGAGATATATGATTGCCGACTTACATCGTCGAAATAGTCATTACCATATCTCCATTCCGTCAAATTTTTTATATACTCAATTTTTTTCACGGAGGATCGAGCAATTCCAAAAACAGGTGAACGAATTTTAGGCGGTTTTCATCGCACTTATCACGCAACGAAGTATTCAATCAAATCGTCACCCTCCTGACATATAGGTGTAACTACACTTCGCGATGTACCCTTTCGTCCGTATAACTCAATGCTTTTTAGGGTTCACCTCAAATTGTATTAATGTCCTTTTGTCAGGCAAGCGACGAAGTGTTGAAAGTCGAGTAGGTTGAGACTCGGTGACATTTTTTTAATGTCTCCGCGCCTATTTCTAGCAAGTGATTTTGGAAAAATTTGAAAAGTGGGTTTTCTGTGCATGCGCATTGACTAGATTTTGTCGGTTATTGAGACGCCTAGTTTTTTTAAAATAGCCGTGTTATGCTGCTTCAAAATTCGATTCTCACAGTTGTGCAAAATGAGAAAGTAACGACGCTTCCATGATGAAAATTTTCAGTTGGAGAGGGGTAAGAAGGGACTTTCCCTCTCATCTTGATCACAGTCAAGGATTGCCGGAAAACCGTGGAATGTTAGGAAAAACCTGGAACTGTCAAGGGAAATGACGGAAATGTCAGGGAAAAATTATTAAGCTCCCTTTATTTACTTTGAGAGTGAGTTTTACGTCTCAAAATACAAATTCCTCCTGAAAACCATTTCAAATTGTGGCTTTTTAACCATCTGACATATCCTCAACAATTTTCAGGAAACTTCATCATAATGTGTCGGGAAAATGTCGAAGACTTTAACGTTCTAAATTCTGTGGCGACCCTACTTCAATGTTGGGTGATTTTTAATGAATACATACAGTTCTCTTGCAAGATTACAGTGAATGGGCATAAAGAATTGAGAAAGCAATTGGGGCCATTTATAGAATTTGTAACGCTGAAAACATCTCCATCAACAACACCACGCGGTCGGTTCCAAACACCAACTCCAACATCTTTTTTATCCCTTTTCTTTCTCGGAAGTCTTTCTTAACAAAGGTTGAAACGTTCTTAAAAAATACGGAACGCTATCGTCTAAATCCCTCTCCTTAGTGTTGAAAAATAACTGACAAAAAGTGAATGCTACAAATTCATCGATTGAGCTTCGACAAATCGATTCATTTTCATTGTAAACGGCTTATTTATCCTTTTTTTTTATTTCTTTATCGATTTAAAATCTCTCGGAAAAGGAGTATTTGGGGGGGGGGGGGGCTCTTCGCAGACGGGCCAAAACCAAATCCGCAAAGAGAGGGGATTACAGAAGAGCAGATTAAATAAGGGGAGAAAGAAAAAAAAAGAAAAAAAGGGGAAAACAATGAATAACTAATTAGCTTAAGAATTAATTGATTGATTTATTATTTTTTCAAGGACTTAAAAATTAGTCTTATTTTTCAACAATATTTTCGGGTATCTCTCCATTTCTTCAGACCGAGTCGGACATTTTAAAAAACATGTGATCCATTTACAATCCGGGAAAAACTACAACCGGGGGGACTTGCAAGGGGGGCATCGCGGGGACGAAGCCCGGGAAGACCGGCCTTGCGCAAGACGACAGCTTGACGACCTCGTGGCGAAAGCCGAGGATGGCGCACCAGGCCGGTCTGCGTTTCTTGACGGAGCAATGCTTGACGGGGGGGCTGCCGAAGTAGCGGCACTTGGGTTCCTCTGCGAAAGGGCAACGGTCTCGCAGGTTGAGGGGTCGCAAATTGAAGGCGTTGAAGGCGCGTTGACAGGCTCGTGAGGCCTCGTGATTAGGGCCAGGATTGTGGGGCGCGTTCCAGCAGGGGTCTTGTTGGTGATATAGATGATGCAAGGCCGCGTTGTCGGCGGCAGGGTCCAGTGGGAGCGCTCCCTCCTGGAACAAGGTCAACGAAGCGGCTCGATTTACCTTAACTGAACGTAAAGTCTCTTGGAACTAGAGTCCCTTTATACCCAGAGTAACGACAACTCGATTATCAGCTGACTGGCAGCCGACCTTGGCTGGCCATGGAGGCCGAAACTAGTGCACTCAAACGAACGATATTGGGGGATAAGGATCAGGAATCCTGCGATGTCTGTCACACAGAAACAACAACATCAACAAATTGATCAATTAAAAAGAAAATGAGATTGGTTTGTGAATAATTTCTTAATCTATTTTCATTTTGGACCGATGGCAATAACAATTTACTCTTGATAAACCACAATTAGGTAATATTTTCATTATTCTTGTTCACATACGAGGTGCCGCCATCTTGGTGCACTAGTTTCGGCCTCCATGAGCGAGAACCAATCAGAATTGGATTTTTTTTTAGGCCACTTTCAGCCCAATCCTGGCCCAACCAAAAGTGAGTTGTCGTAACTCTGGGTATAAAGGGACTCTACTTGGAACCATAGGCGGAACTAGAGTACGTTTATAGTAGAGACAAGAGACCCTCCACTAGTATCTTGGCCATGGTGGAAGCTTTTACTTTCGGGACTTCAGCATTCTACTGTTGACTTACCTACATGGTTGATGTTCAACAACGTGTTGGCAGTTTCGTTTTGCAAACAAGCCGAAAATGGCCGACGTTTGGGAGAGTTGTTTGGCTCTTGACGTCATCCGAAGCTCATCATCCACCATGTAGGTAAGTCAACAGCCGAAAATAGGGTGATGACTGTTGCTCGCTAATAATTGTCCATAAGGAATTGTTGAAACCCCGAAAGTAAAAGCCTCCACCTGTCGCTAGGAGGCCAGTGGAGGGTCTCTTGTCTCTGGTTTATAGGGAGCAAATGGACAACTCGAAAATTTGGAGGTTAGGTTTGATCAGGTCATGTAGTTCTTGAGGCCCAAAAGGGGAGCCAACCTATGAACTCGACTTATTCAGTGGTATTAATTTTTACATTTCAACTATTTACACAGATCAAAAACTATAAAAGCACTTATGAAACTTTGATTTCGCTTACATTTTCTCAGTTCAAAGTCTTAATCCTTGAAAACGCCTCTTTATAGTACGCTGTCGGCCCTATTGATCAATCTTTCAAATGCATATGTCGGCAGCGGCACTATTTTCGTTTTACACATTGGCGCCCTTTTGGGCCCTAAGAGCTACATAAATCGAGTTGTCCATACTTTCCCTATAAAGCTACTTTAGTTAGAGGTGTTGGATGATATGAACATTCTCAGTATTCCTTCTTTTATCCCCGGATGGTTTGCTAAAGATCCGTTTTCAGAGCTGCCGATATATTGAAGTTGAAATAAATGAAATTGAATTAAATAAATCTAAGAAATACCTGAGGCGGTGTTTCGTCGCTCACTATCCTCATTCCTCGTATTCTGCTTCGCAGCATTGCCTTTGAAAAATCAACAGCTATTAAACCACAAACTAGGACATACTGGAAGGATAACATGTTGCGCACCGTTTGGAGCCGTCTGGCTCAAAAAATTCCAGCCAACTGGGACGATCGGCTTTTTATACACGCGAGATGTGTGAAAATTTAGTTCCCATCAACGACATTGAGGAACACTCGATATAATCTCCGGAACACGCCGCACTAATCTCCCAGAATTCGAACAGTTCCATGGAAAAGTGAAAAGCTTTTAGAAACTCTCCTCGACTCGCGTAATTCACTCACAGTGGGAGAAAAAAACATCGACATTTTTTCAAATTCTTTTTTTTCGGAAATAGGGTGCGCTGGAATTAAATAGACAGAGCACGTTGGGGAAAAAATGAGTAGATTTGAAACAGTAATGGAATGAATTTTGCAATGAGGAACTACTATTTCTGTCTCGTGTTAGAAACGGCGTAGGAGCAATAGAGAATTTGCAGGTGTCTGAAAGTTTGAGAATTTCATCTTTAAAATGATACTGCTAGGAAAACTGAGTACGAGGATATCCTTGGTTTCTGAATTGAACAATTATTGGAGAAAATATGACAAAATAACCTAATCTGCTAAAATGCATGTGTTTAAATGGAAAATGTCGGTCCTACTGATAGGTTGAAACATTCAGAATCTTAACAATGGAGAATTTGCAGGTGTCTGAAATTAAATGAATTTCGTGTTTAAGTGAAAATTGTGAGTAAACTGAGGACTAGGATACCCTTGGTTCATAAATTGAACAATCGTTGGAGCAGATATGACGAAATAATCTTTTCTGCTAAAATACATATGTTTAAATGGGAAATGCCGCCAGATGACGTCATAAGGCGGCACATTTTTTCACTTTTAAATCTATTTTTCTCTAATTTCCCATGTCAGAAAAAAAGCGTAAAAGATATTGCGAACTCAGTTCATTAGGCACTCTTGGATGAAGCGTACAATTTTTTTGTGCAAATTCTCTATTGGTTTCCTTATGCAGATAGGTTTACTTTTATGGTGTACCCAGGTACAGTAGTTTCGTATTGCAAAATGTGGTCCAAATATTCTTGGATTCGCCGTCGAGACGATATTTTTCTTAATCAAGGAGGAACATGCGTTGATCAAGAAAGAAGAAGGTCGTATCAAGCAGAATCCTGCTTACAATGAATTTTACTCTTGATTCAAAATAAAATTTTCTGAATGGCAAATTCAGAACGTGTCTACTTGAATCGGTTACTTTTTGCAGGACTTATCTATTTTGGAACTTTTGAAAACAGACTTATGCGCACTAATGGTACTAATGATACAAATTATCTGGATATGTGTCGAGTCTCTTTATACTGAGAGTCAAGACAACACCCCCTCATGGAGTCACAAACGGGAATAAAGATTACAGAAATTGAACGTTTTTTGTAATCTTTGATCGGCCCATTCTCAAATTCCTTTTTCCGTTCCCTCTCTCATTCCGTTTGTTCCTTGCCGAACCCGTAATTTCCTGGTCCATTCCAGATTATAATCTTTGCAATCGGTGAAAATGTAATCTTTACTCCCGTTTGTGACACTGTGAAGGCCTAAAATAAGGGAACCAATCAGAAATGGATTCACATTGTCTTGACTCTCAGTATAAAGGGACTCTAGGGATATATAGAAAGTCGGATGAGAGCGAGCGAGAGAGATCGGGGAAGCTCGACACTAGAATCAATCGCCGAGAACAAATCAAGGGTCCATTCCACGCCAAAACTTCTTGGGAATTTTTAAGCCGCATGTAAATTTGTCCCGCTACACCGAAAAAAAAGTGAAGTTGATTTAAAATTCTGGATGTACAAAAAGTGTGCGAGAACTTATAAAATGCAGAATTACCCATTGCAGCAGTTACTTTAGCAATGCCAAGATGTAAAACTAACCGTTGTGGTACGTAATTCAGGTAATTCAGCATTTTCTAAGTTCTCGCACACTTTTTTTTTACATCCAGAATGTTAAATCAACTTCACTTTTTTTTCGTTGTTGTCCAGGAAAATTTTTGTCATATACACAATTAAGAACGGACCTGTCTACAAATATTCCAGTGGAAAAACTGCCAGCTGCTACTTTAGCTGCTAAACGGGAAGTTCGATGATTTGACGAGCACAAATCGGCGATTTCTCACTCATGAGTTGAATTAAGCAATTGTCCATATTTTCATAGTGTTTCCCCTTATATAGATTGTGTGCATACAAACAATTTTGCAGCAGACAAAGTTACGTATGCAGTTTGTCAAAAACCGTTCTCTCGTGAAATGAGCAGTGGCGTGGCGTGCTTTGCGATGTATCAATGGGCCTGTTGCAAACTTTTGCTAGAGCAAAACTAAGAGTTGTTTCCTACAGATAATGCCTCAAAAATCACGATGAGCGCATCGGCAAAGTCTGAAATGCACTCATAACTTCACAATCTGCGTAAAAAATTTGCGGTTTTTTGAGCTTCCCGCTTTGAAAACGATACTACGGTACAGGTGAACATTTTGTTAGAGGAGTCGTTCCATTGGCGACAATACTCATCATGGCCGACGCCAGTCCGCCAAAACACGTGTGATGGGACGAGATAACACTTGAACAGGATTAAACCATATGACAATCGGCGTGTTTACGTTCATATTTTCCTCGCCCGCCTTAATTGACCTTGAACTCTCCTCGAATTACGCGAGGAACTGCGCAAGCGTCGGCCATGATGAATATTGCCGACGATGGAGCGACTCCTCTAACAAAATGTTCACCTGTGCAGTAGTATCGTTTTTGAAGCGGGAAGCTCAAAATAACGCAAATTTCTTACGCAGATTGTGAAGTTATGAGTGCATTTCAGACTTTGCCGATGCGCTCATCGTGATTTTTGAGGCATTCTCTATAGGAAACAACTCTTCATTCTGCTCTAGCAAAAGTTTGCAACAGGCCCATTGATCTGCCATTAAAACCTATGGAAAAGGATCGATAAACGGGGTGTTCGCAACGAATACCTTAATAATCGATTCTTTACCATAGCTTCGAATGGGGATTCATCGATAATCGATCATTCATGCCTTCCCACCGGGGATGAGGTGTCTCATCGTGCCTCAACTCCAATTTTCACGTGCACCAGCGCTAATAAATTGTGAGATTCGCAGAGCTTAGTGTCATAAACGCTTCCATTCTCGATGGTAAAAAAAAGTGCTCTCACAGTCCGAGCTGAACGTTTAGAAGTGACATTAAGCTTGCATGGCGATCACGAACAAGATTTTCACTCAGAGAAACATTGGCCACACGTTGAACTTATCTGCTCGTAACGAGGAGATGAAAAAATCAACATGCAAGTGTCATTTCAAGAGGATTTTTTCCATTAGTTCAGTGACCTTCCCTTGTTTAGCAATTTGCAGCATTCAGTCTCCATGCGGGTAATTCATTAGCTGTCATCATGTAGATGAAAACAGCTCTGGCATGCATATCAATGCTGGACGAGCGTTATGGAACATACAATAATGGGTATAATCAAAAGGTTCAAGTAGAGTGGTAATGAAATCTAACTTTCGAGAAAAAACGGGGTTTTTTTAACTCTAATTGAAATTTTTGGAACTAATTGTTTCTGTTTTCCCCGCAAAATGGTTTGAACCCTACACTTCTTCACCTCCTTGTCTAACGTTAGGTAAACAAATCAAAAAAGTAATTTTAAAAGCAGAGAGAGAGGGGAGCTTTTAGAATTTTATTTTAAAATCAAATTCGCCTACAAATGAACGTATTTTTTTTTTATCAAAATAAGTGTATTACAGATTAGCCAGAAATTGTAATTATGAATTTCAAAATGTAGTCCAATTCATTTGAAAATCTTCATGAAACTTCTCTAGCGAGCAAAAGACCCATTCCTTGGTTTTCCATCGTGGGTGCTCCATAATCTCTCACATACAGTCCTGTATGACAATAGTTGTGGGGCCACCGGATTTGTGTGTTGTTGTAAAACGAACCTAACCTAACCTAACGATATTTTGACCAAAACATTCTAATTTCTTCTAACCTAATTACCTAACCTAACCCCACGATATTTTGGGCAAAACAGCCTAATTTCTCTGAACCTACCTACCTAACCCCACGATATTTTGGGCAAAACAGCCTAATTTCTCTGAACCTAACCTAACCTAACCTAACCTAAAATAACCTAACGATATTTTTGCCAAAACAGCCCAATTTCTTTTAACCTAATTTAACCTAACCTAACCCAATCTAACCTAACCTAACGATATTTTGGCCAAGAAAGCCTAATTTCCTCTAACCTAACCTAACCTAGCCTAACGGTATTTTGAAAAAAACATTATAATTTCTTTTAAACAAATTTAACCTAACCTAACCTAACCTAACGAAATTTTCGCCAAAACAGCTTAATTTTCTCTAATTTAACCTAACCTAACGATATTTTGACCAGAACAGCCTAATTTCTTCTAACCTAACCTAGCCTAATTTAACCTAACCTTCTCTTTTTTGGGTCTTTTTTGGGGGCTGATAAATGCCGTTTTTTGTCACGATTTCGGCACAAGCAAGGGAGGCCCCACACGGTGGGGCATAAGCGTATGCAGAGGCCCCATAACCATTGCCATAAAATCCCAATAAACGTCCGGATCAGACGATTATGGCCTGCAGAGGTTGTTGCTGCTGATGAAGCGGGAGACCGGGGAACAAGGGTGCGGCGCAGTAGATCATGGCCTCGACCTCGAAGCTGCGTTTGGCGATGAGGCACACGAAATGGGTGCGGGGCCTCATCTTCTTGATGGAGCAGCGCTGGAGGCCGGCGCCGCGGACGCTCCGGCACTTGGGCTCCACCGCGAAACGACAGCGGTCCCGAGCCGCCTCGTCGCGGCTGTTGAAGGCGGCCACCGCTCGCCGGCAGATCAGGTTGGCGTTGTCATCCGCCTCCTGGTTCGCCGTGAAGTTCAGGCACGGGTCGTTGGCCGTCATCACCAGTTGGAGGGCCGCCTCGTTGACTGCCGGGTCCGCCGCCGCTGCCTAGTGCACGGAAAAAAAAGATTTCCTGAATTTAAGTAAACGCGTCTACTTGGATTTTTTACTTATTTCAAAACGGGTTTGACTTGGAAGAAACTAACGGTTTTCTTAATGTAAGACAACATGATTCGCTTGAAACAAGCGAATCGTGTTTTCTTAAGTAAAATAAACGTTGTTTTAAAATAAGCCAACTTTTGC